TTGCTATGTCAAATTTCTTCCAGCATTCCATAACATTCATATTAGGATTACATTCCATATTATCCATTATGATTTTGAAGGTTCGTCTAATTTAATAGAGCTGAAAGGTCTGGATTGTTCCTTGGTCCATAGGTTGAAGCAAAACTGTCGTGTTGGGAGGTAACAATGTCAGTTTTATGTTTGGACGCATAGTTTCAAGTTTGCGAGGAGGACCTGGTGCATTGTCCCAAACTAGAAGTGCTTTAAAGTCTAAATTCTGTTTTCTTAAATAAGTTTTAACTTCAGAAACAAAGCAATTCCGGAAACAGTCACAAAAAATTCGTGAATAAAAAAATTTATAGCCGCGAATATGGAAATTGAGTTGCTTTTTTTTAGTCCGAGAATAAGGAGCTTTTATTTATTTATTTTTTTTTTTTGGTATGTTGAACGGAGATAGACTAAGCCAATAGATTTGTGGATTGTGGATGTGTAGATGACGTACATTTTTTGCTGCAAAGAGATCGAGGAGACAGCCATATAACTTGAAGAAGCTAAAGGAATCTCTAATGCCATCAAGCCTGTGACATCTGAAGATTAGATGCTCAGCAGACTCAACAACATTGCAAACTTCACAAACATCCCATCACATGGTATAGCGAATCATTTTTAAATAAACTTTGTCATAAGTATGATTAAAAGAAGATACAGAGAAGGGTTTGAATTGAAATGTGGGATTTAATTTATAGAAAAGACGATTGGATTTAACGCGCGCGATTTCCTTAAATTCGTCGTTTAGGTGTTGAAGGATGTGGTTGCGAATTGCCCGAATTGCTTCATTGGGAGTATATTTGATGAACAAAATTATCCCATCAACACGAGCTCTCCCTGCATGAAAGTCGGCTTTTACATTTAAAAAAAAGCCGCAGTGGCCAGGTACCCAAACGAGGTGACAGTCATTCACTTGAGATTCTTGCAACGTCTTGTGAATATCAAACACATATTGATTTTCTGCACCTCTTTTATTTATTAGAAGTAGAGCTGACCTGCTGTCGGAAAAAATAACAAAACGTCTGATACCATCGGAGATAACAACCTTGATAGCATATCGAATGGCGAGCAACTCAATAAAAGTAGAGGAAAGTTCCTCTTCTACTTTGACTCGAAGTACTGTTTCAGATAGATGTTTCACGACCGAGAAGCCAGATACATTATGTCTGACGGAACCGTCAGTGGCATATATATCGTATCCGTTGTTGTAATAAACAAGGAGCTTTTCTTGGCATAACAACCTTATACAAGAGAAGTTGACATTTTGTTTTGAGGAAGAGATCGATTCGAGAATGTTCATGAAGACCGTGCATTTGCTGGTAATGAAATTTAAGGGGGGAATTGAATCTAACTTATCAAAAATATGACGAAGTTTTTGATAGCAAAAAGTATAGCTGCAAGTGACAGTGTCACTGAGAGATATAATTTCCTGAAAAAAGGAAGGATTTATCATCTTGACTTTAATTAACTCCTTGGCAGTGCAAAAAAGGGCTCTTTCGGAAACTGGCCATTCACCAGATATAGCATTGAGAATATGTTGAGGAGTTGAGGGGGTCAGTCCAGTACAACGCTTCAACATTCAGTTTTCAATATATTTTGGGAAATTGCAACATGTGGAATAGCCAAATTCAATTTTGGACCTAACTAGAGATTTGTAAACGGTCAAAGCATTTTTGGGAGGCAAGCCCGCCTGATTGTTTGCCATGAGTTTGATGATGTTGCATCCAGACTGACAATCTTTGAACGCCTTTTCATAATGCCCACGAAGGGTTAAGCTGTCATTTAAAATTCTCCCAAGAAATCGAAGAGATTTTACCTGATCAACGTGGGTACCTTTGATAAGAAATCTGATTTCACGTTTAGAACCTTTGTCAAAATAAACAGTGTTTGTCTTGCTGGGGTTTAAATATAAATTAAGATCAGCGCATGCATCGAAAAACAAGTTCGCTTTCATCGAGAGGTTATTGACAGCTGCTGGAAAAGATGAGTCCGCAGATACGATTAGAAAATCGTCTGCATATTGAAAAATGTGAGTTTTGTCATCTTGAAGATCATGCAAAGAAGCTGCGTATAAATTGAA